TACGATTAGAACATCCGGACAAGTCAGCCGTAGCTGAACACAGCATCGATCTAGACCACCGTATCCAGTTTCACAAAACTGCCATAATCACCAGTAAGAGCCGTTACCTAGATCGCATAATCCTGGAGGCCGTTGAGATCGAGCTCCATCCTAACAACATGAGCAAGGAAACAGGGTTCAGTCTCAACAAGTCATGGAAGCCACTCATCTCTTCCATCAAGAGAAATCCTAAAAGCCACCCCAGTTCTTCATGGTGTCATTAACATCAGTAGCCTGTCCCCAACCAACTGGTTCTTCTTGTGTACCGCACTTCCTAGTGCTATTGACCTCAAGTTTCCTGGATTCACTGGCTGTTTCCNNAGACACTGATCACCATATACTTCTGTCAACAAATTGTAAGTTTCAGTGGCAGATTTTCCAAGTTTTGTGAGGAATTTGATGTTAGCACGTTGTTCTGCATTAGCACTCAGCATTATTCCGACGGAGCTCAGAAACACGATCCGCTTCTAACAATGGTCGCGGCCAGACTAACCGATGCACGTGAATGAAACTTTGTGTGACGGTAGAGGGAAGTCCAAGGGTCAATGCCCTACCCTCCTCTTCGTCAATGACGTGGCCGGAAATGAGTCATAAAAGTAATCCGGGTTCTTTATTGCCACACCTTGTATATAAGCAGTAACTTTCACATCCTATCACCACAGCTACTGCTCTCCGCATTCCAAGCCATTCAACTGCTCTGAAGATGGAGACGCTACGTTCCTCCGAAACGTCGGCCAAAACGAAGAATACGCGGTGCCTAAACCCAGAAGACGACTTTCTTCAAGAATTTTGAAGTTGAATGAAATTGCATTAGGTCCTTTCCCTTTAACTCTGGGGTCATGGGGTTGCATGTGATGGCATGTTTATGAAAATCTGTCACTTAGTTCAGACGTTATTGACACATGCACACGAACATTATAATATGAACGTACATTTTTTGAGAGAAATAAACTAACTGGTTGTTCTCGGCTCATGATATTCAAAATTATTTCTGAAGGATCCCTGGAAACTTAAAGTAGTTATAGTTATATTGAAAATGTTAATGTTGTCATTGAAACTCCTTCATATGGGAAGAATATCAGTCAGTTATGGGTAGCCAGGTGGCCTTTCAGAAAAATACATTGTTTTGACAATACTGAATATAAGCAATTGATATTGATAATGGAAGTATGTTTCATTAAAAAGTTATTGAAAATAAATGTGAATTACTACACTTAATATTCATTGAAATGTATATATTACATCCTGTGAATTATAAGATATAGCAACTAACAGGTAAATAAGGTAGACTGTTGAAGTAAGGCAGTAACATCACTGAAAGAAATGGGCTGGTAACTAACTACCTGACTGTGTGGAACAGCCATTAAGAAGCTAATAGTCACTCTCCTAGTCAAGCCTCTTTTGGAGCCTGAGATTCATTATTATGTTCACAAGAGCTGGCCACTGGTCTCTATCCTTATCAAAATGAACAGAGTCCCTTTTACCCTGTTTAAGATACATTTTAATATTATCCATTCATCTGTATGTAGGTTTTTGGGAAAATGGTCTCATTCTTCAGGCTCTTCCAAATCCAAAACTGTGTGTGCATTTCTGTCTCATGCATGCCACATGTCTGCCTATCTCCTGTATTTATTTGATCACCCTAATAAAGTTTGGTGAAGAGCCTTAATTATGCAGCTCCTCTTTTCAACCTCCATTCATTCCCTTCCTTTAAGGACCAAGTATTTTCCTTAGTACCCTGATCTCAAATGCTTGCAATATATGTTCTTCCCTTAGTGCTAGAGACCAGATTTCGCATTCATACAGAAGTACAGGTAACATTACAGTGTATTTTAATTGTTGCGTTTTTAGATAGCAGACAGGAAGACAAAAAGTTATGAACTAAATGGGAGCAGGTATTCTCCAGATTTAATCTACTCTTAATTTCTTTGTGATTGCAATTTTTATTTGCTGTTACCATTCCCAAATATTTTAAATTTGCCACATTTCCTAGCTCTTTTGTGTGCATTCAAAACCCTGTGGAGCACCTGTTAAATTCACTCCATCCATATGAATAAAACGCCTTGAGAACAGTGGAACATATCTTTGGAAAATATAATATTTCATAATTTTACAAATAAAGTTGTCAGGCCATTTCAGTTTTCATATAAATCAGGAATGTTTAATGACAACTTTATATGAAGACCTACATGCTTTTCTGCACATATCCTGCTAAATATTTTTCAGAGAAAAGGGTGTTTTGAATGAAAATCATTCAGAAAAATGGAACACATTATGTTCAGCATATTTTCTTCACAAGTTTTATGGTTTTTGAGATAAGTAAACAAAAGGGATATTATGAATAAGTTTTTGAACTTCATATTCGGCAGTAAGCCATGGCCTCTATAGCAAAATCGCGGGAAAAAAAATCATTATTGATTTTAGACTGTGTTAATATCAGGTTTGTTTTATTATTATTATAATGTAGTGTTCTATTATGATATGATTTTGAAGTATATATTAATTTATGTACAGATTTTTATAGATTGTATAATAACAGTAGATGAAGTCTTGATACAGTTGTTTAGTCTTTCAGTAGGTCCCTATAGTTTTAACATATCACCAGTTTTTAAAATTAGATTTATTATAAGAGAAGAGTTTTTAGACTATTTCATATATAATTCCTTCTACCAGAGATCCTTGCTCAGTGTACTTTTAATTTTGTTCATTATGTTTCTGATGTTAAAATATGGACATATACTTAGTTTTTTTCTGTGTTTACTTGTAATCCAGTCTCCAAACTACAGGCTAATTGGAGCTTCTTTGTTTTTCTTTATGGTACTTACATTTTCACCCAATAAATTAACATCATCAGTATACCCTAGAAGATGTTTCTCATTCAGTTTGACTCATGGTTTTCTTGAACCTTCCTAAGGGTGTATTCTGAAGCAAAGTTGAAAAGCATGACAATAAAGCATTTCCTTGTTTCAGACTGTTTTGAAGAGGAAATGTGTGAGACAAATGTCTGCCCATGTAGACTTTACTGTAGGTTCCATTGAAACTAATTTTAATTGCAACTCTTTATTGACCGTCACAACACAACAGAAAAAATCAAGGTCAGCGCCCAGCTATGTTTCACTACATGTTTTAGCCACTAACGGCCATCATCAGGCAAACACATATTAACAAACATATGCCATTGAACTGCAGTACATTAGACTGGATACAATTTTATTAATCATTTAAAATACTTTGCGTAAAAATACAATAAGTCAGGTTATATAAAAACTAAAAGTTATTGTATAAAACAAGATAAAATTGATGTTATATAACAACATCGAATCAGTCGTTGATATTTTACTTTTCATACGTTTCCATGGACAAGTTGGAAATTTGATATTTCTTTTATATAAGAATGCATAGGAGGCCCATGATGTTGCAAATTAATTAATCTGAAAATAATAGTATTAAATTTTGTTGTGATTAATAATTGATTTTGATGTTGAGGATATACTATATATTATTACTTACTGTATAGTTGGTGCTTCATCTTATGGAGAATTGTCCGTACTGTATGGAAAGTAAACAACGACTGATTTGGTGATATAGGATTAAAGTCAATGTAAGGAAGGGAGGGAGGACGTAGAGATAAGGTGTATGTGGGAGTGAAGGTAGGGGGGAAGAGGGTATAACTGTATATTATGTTTTGTATGTATCAATTATTACATCATATATAGGGTTAAACATTTCAGTAAAATTATCATTCAGTTGTAAGTTTTGTGTGCTGATTTCATAAATATGAAATCTTTTGTACGTATCCAAGGTTCGGCCCTTCTTGCCGATATATAGAACTTCCAATGTTTTGTCTACCGTACCATATTCATGTGTGGTGTCCAATACACGTTGAGCAAATTTTGAACTTTGTCCGTTATTTTTTATGTCTCGTTTGTGTTCTTTGAATCTGACCTTAAAGGTACGTCCAGTTTGTCCTATAAATTTTAATGGACAGTCAGAACATTGTAGTCGGTAAACCCCACTAAGATTATACATATCTTTTTTGTCATCATTAATTTTCAACAGATTTTTATATTGTTTTTTGTCTTATATGAGATACCAACTTCAGTATTCTTGAAAAGTTTAGTAATAGATCTGATTTATGGCCAAAATAGGTAAAGGTGGCCCATTTATTTTTCAGCGTAGTATTTTTGTGTAGGGTTTTTGTGTTAGTTGTATAGTATTTAGTGGGTAGTTATTATTATTTAAAATAGTTCTAACAATATTTTCTTCTATAGTTTTATTGTTTTGCGAAAGGGGATATTGATTCAATCGATTGATGAGAAAATTTATAGCTGATTTTTTGTGTTCAAATTGTATCCAATCTAATGTACTGCAATTCAGTGGTATGTGTTTGCCTGATGATGGCCATTAGTGGCTGAAACATGTAGTGAAACATAGCAGGGCACTGACCTTGATTTTTTCTGTTTGTTGTGTTGTGACAGTCAATAAAGAGTTGAATATTGTAACACAACAGGATGCACGAAATGAAAATTAATTTTAATTGGCCTTACCACAGTGCAACCTCATTGTGAGAATTTATAAAATTCGTTATTGAAGCATGAGTGGTGGTTCTTTTGAAATTGTTAAGACTTGAGAAAGAAATTGAGGACTTTCATAGGGAAAAAAATCCAAGCAGCAGGATGTCATGATCATTTTTTGAAGAAGTAAATTAATTTATTATTTGTGCAAAAACTGTCACAGTATTGATATGTGATTTCAGTTTGCATCATGATACTGTATTTTTAGTCCCTGGAATTACAGTATGAGTATGTGTAGTAAAAATGTTCATACATTTAACTTCATAATTTGCTGAGCATTCCAATTAAGGGTTAATGTGAAGGTAAGTACTGAGCTTATGATTTTTGCATTTCAGCTGTTTACACCTTCCACATTTTAAACCATTTTTCATCAGTCCCCAGAAAAATATAAAGTTGTAGTCAAGGGGAATAATATTTGTCTCATCTGTGAGTCATTTATGTATCTTTTGAATTTAAATATATTCTTTATAGATTGCATCCTGTTGTGTGTATAGAATTAGATTTTTTTTTTATTATAACCATCAGCACAGCACGAGTGATACAGAACTATCTTCAATGGAGATAGTAGATGCTAATATATCATTTAATATTGTATCCGTTTTTTATCAGTCTTTACCTTTTTAATATTTCAGATATATTTGCTACAATACAGCAATCTGTTAACTAATACTGCTCCGTATTGTACCCAATGTTTTTAATTACTTGAGATATGTTCATTTAAGGCCTTTTGATGACTGAATTGTGGTCAAAACATGTGGCATAGCTGTATTTGTAATAAATAAGTAAAATGTACATTAACATTACTATCTCTATTGAAGATATTTCCATACCACTCATGCTGTGTTGACAGTTATAATACAAAAAGGAATCTAACAGTAAATATATTCATTTTTATTTTACTTTTATACCTGATAATTTTTTTTGTTACAGCAAATTCATTGCCAATGTGAGGAGGATTGAATCTGATTCTTCAGTGAATGCCATATCATCGAGAAACTTTAAAAGTACAAGATGTTTTTTATTTTTATGGAATGGAGCATCTTTAAATACTGTATAGAATTGCCACTGTGCATAAACATTTGTGTAAATACTTTGCTGTTTTTATCTACCTGAGTGAACAGTTTTTAAATGTGCATGGATAGATTTTCGTGATGTTTCAACATGACGGTGATGTTACATGGTGTACTGTATGAGGAAGTTCTCCGGAGAAGTGGAGTGCCCATACAGTAAATACTTTCATCAGTATCAAGAGAGGTAATTGTGCTACCAGGAATCCTGTAGTTACATAAATCCAAGGAATTGCTTTATCAGTTGAATAACTAGTTGCCATATTTTATGGACTATATGACATGCCTTTATTGCGTATATTTGGAAAAACTATTCACCATTTTTTACACATCACAGTGGAAGTCCTCTTGTAATGAAAACCCCACAGTATCATTGGATTAAAAAACAAGTTCCAGGAAGATTACTCACTGACTGCCCTTTGATATAGCATGAACAGCACAGAAAACAGTATTCCCACAGATTCTATTGCTGCATGTGTATTTGTTACTGGAAGAACATTTACCCAAGCCACTGCCTAGCAATGATAGGGGGAATACACACACACACACAGGGACAGTAGGCTAACTGAAGAACTGATGGAGGCTGTGTCTTCTCTGCAGTCCAACCCGAAGTTATATAAAGAGGACAACCCAAGAGTTAGAAGACCTAATTACCAAGCCATTGCCTAGCAATGGCTGTCTCTATGGAGCTTCTCTAACTGCACTGTTACCAAGCCATTGCCTAGCAATGGCTGTCTCTGTAAACCTTCTCTGACTGCATTATTCCAGCTTTCAAGTGTCATGTCACATGTTTATATGGTGTTGTCTTCTGCCTCCACAATTCTGGCTTACAGGAGAAGGGGGGGGGGACAGCAAGGTGATCTTATGCTACCAGCAATGAGTACAGCTCTTTACTCATGAAATACAAATACAAAGCCACATTGTGCTTCTTAAAAACGAACTACTCCCAAACAAGTTGCCTGGATATGCAGCTTGACAGTTACAAGTATATTCCTCTTTCAGAATAATTTTGGTCATGTCTTTGTTTTCTACTATACCTTTAGCCCATAACACTCTTAGATTTTAGGAAGCATTTTCTTGGATAAAAAGTGTCTTTTGCTCTGGAAAATATGGTAACTACTCAATGAAGACCCTTTACAGTGGAATAAATAATATTATACATTCAGAAATTGGTTGGAAATACTGGAAAATTCTGGCATCATAATTAAATCTCTGAGCTTGTAGATCAGTTACATTTGTGTCCTAATGCTTTGAACTCATGTTTTAATAGATCATTTATGAACAGTGAGCTGAAAAAAAAACACTTCTATTATTGAAACTATATTTGACACTTGGTGTTTTTGTAATTAAATTAAATTACAGGACCCAAACTAATGGTGATAATTCTTAAATAGAATAAATACGCTGTAATAGTCTTGTGCAATTGCATACAAAATGAATACCTAGCAAAAATGTTTTATAATTTTCTCTGCTTTCATTGTACCTTTTTAACACCACATGCAATGTGTTCATAATTCTAAATAAGGTTTTCCTAATTATTGTATGTTTGTAGTGATGGCAATTAGTGCTTCAGTTCACTTTGTTTGTGATTGTGTAGCAGAGCATTAGGTATATTTTAACACGAATAGTAGAGATTTCTTATTAAATTTGAAGTGCAGAATATGTGTATAAAAGTGCTCTCAGTATAAAGGTATGTAGATGGTGCTGTCTAGTCTTTACTTCATGCCCTTGGCTAATTTAATTTTTTACTGTTATGGGAAATGGTAGAAGATGCTGAGAAATTGGGCATAAAGTGGTTATCACCAGGTATTCAACAAGTATCATGAACCTATTTATTTAAAGATTTATAATTGGGAAATTTTTTGTAGTTTCATCTTGTAATTTTTCGTAAGTGATGTCTTTGTGGAAGGAACCATAAAATATGTGGAAAGAGGGAGAGGAATTAATACAACTTTGCTTTTGACCTTTTTCCTTGTTTGTACAGTACTAGTATTCCACCTTGCACACCATGCATTGTGTGACCACTATCATGTATTATTTCATAAAAAACATCTTGAAATATCTTTACACAAAATTTCCTATTTTGATGTTCACGCTGTCATGGTGTGTAGCTGCTTTGTGTCGTTTTAGTGTTTTCAACACATGCATAGCTGTAGAATGGATACTGGAACAAGTTGTACATTTTTAAGTTTATCATAAACTCATGCAACATATTTAAATGATCTTTTTATTACTGAAAAATCTATGTGTTATTCATACAATGTACATATACACAGATACACAATCCTGTTAATAAGAGCTTGAGCTTTCAAAATACTGTTTTATTTTATCTAGAAACCAGTATGTCCTAGCATAATCTATACNGTATAAAAGTGCTCTCAGTATAAAGGTATGTAGATGGTGCTGTCTAGTCTTTACTTCATGCCCTTGGCTAATTTAATTTTTTACTGTTATGGGAAATGGTAGAAGATGCTGAGAAATTGGGCATAAAGTGGTTATCACCAGGTATTCAACAAGTATCATGAACCTATTTATTTAAAGATTTATAATTGGGAAATTTTTTGTAGTTTCATCTTGTAATTTTTCGTAAGTGATGTCTTTGTGGAAGGAACCATAAAATATGTGGAAAGAGGGAGAGGAATTAATACAACTTTGCTTTTGACCTTTTTCCTTGTTTGTACAGTACTAGTATTCCACCTTGCACACCATGCATTGTGTGACCACTATCATGTATTATTTCATAAAAACATCTTGAAATATCTTTACACAAAATTTCCTATTTTGATGTTCACGCTGTCATGGTGTGTAGCTGCTTTGTGTCGTTTTAGTGTTTTCAACACATGCATAGCTGTAGAATGGATACTGGAACAAGTTGTACATTTTTAAGTTTATCATAAACTCATGCAACATATTTAAATGATCTTTTTATTACTGAAAAATCTATGTGTTATTCATACAATGTACATATACACAGATACACAATCCTGTTAATAAGAGCTTGAGCTTTCAAAATACTGTTTTATTTTATCTAGAAACCAGTATGTCCTAGCATAATCTATACAATATAATTGAGACCAAAGTCCATATTGGTGAATTGCCCTTCCCATCGTAAGGTTAAGTTTTCAATTCTCTCCCTTACATAATACCTGAATTTTTAAAATGTAGTCAGCTTGAGGAGCTATGCTACAAGCCAGAAGGTCACAGGTTCAAGTCCCAATGAGGTCATTGGATTTTTTCAATTGACCTAATCCTTCCAGCCGCACTATGGCCCTGGGGTCAACTCAGCCTCTAACAGAAATGAGTACCAGGAATTAATTAATTCCTGGGGAGTAAAGCGCAGCCGGCGCGTAAGGCTAACAACTTACCACCATCTTTGAGTCGACTGTCTAGATAATGTGGGACCCTCAATGTCTCACAACCCTATGGGCCTTAACGGCCTGGTACAGGGATAGCTTTACTTTTAATTTTTTTACAGCTTCCTGGATTCTGAAGTTGGTAAGCCAGTTTAAAAGAAGTGATTATTTTGCATCTGTAACTTAATGTGTAAACTAGGTTACTAATAATTGTAATGTGTGGTTTAGTAAATACTGGCACTACCATCACTTGCTCATGATAACAGTGAATATCTCACCTATTTTCTAAAAGTAAGGGAAGTACAGTGTTATCTTCCAATCCATTATGGTTCACATGTTTACCGTTGGCTAAACCCATTTCTGAGATAGTTTAGTTTTGCAGCCATGCAACTATTACATTAGCTTTTATCATGTACTATTTCTTGTATCTGGCTTCCTGTTTGCATTGAAGGTTTCACAGCAGGCTAATGTGAGGTCTTTCACAGCACAATCATGTTTTTAATATGTTTCTTGTTTGAGAATGAGATATAGTATTTAGCAAAGAATATGCCAGATACAGGCATAATACGTGCAAGCTAAGCTAAAGCACGGCTTTGCAGTACATAGTCACTGCATTATTTTCTTCCTACCCTGCTGAGACAGCAACAGAGAGACATGAGTGGATTTCCTTTGTCTAGGATAAGTCTATAATTCAGTATCAGTTATTTCTTATGACTTGTGTGAAGCGTAACTCCATTAGGAAGAGTGAGAGGGATGTTACATGAAAGATTCCTGGGGTTCAAGTCCACTACAGAAGCACTTCATGATCTTGCCAATAAAGTACAAACTGGCATGTTAATAAACAGGAACCAAAACATCAACACTATTAAAATGAAGCTGGATCAAGCCAGAGCTCTGCTTGAATGTTCACATTGCAAGTCTCTTAATAACACTGTACGAGAAACTATGGCTTTAGAAAATTACAGCTGTGTATTCTGCAGCTGGTATCATCAGTTCATGACAGAGGACTTTGTTCCTAATTGATATCCTTTGATGATGCTTGGACTAATTTGGACACATGAACACACAAATTCCATTCCATGGTGCAAACCTCTGGTGACTGATCCATCTTGAGTGGAAGTAGGTTAACTGGCTGTATTATACAATTCTGATAGGCCTTGAACAGAATGTAAGTCATGGTTTATGACCACTTTGTTCTCCCAGTATTAGTATAGTTTCTTTTTGTGAAGATACTAAAAAAACAGAGTATCAAATTGATCCACATATGGAGGAATTCATGGAAAGCATATGACTCGNTCATGGTTTATGACCACTTTGTTCTCCCAGTATTAGTATAGTTTCTTTTTGTGAAGATACTAAAAAAACAGTATCAAATTGATCCACATATGGAGGAATTCATGGAAAGCATGACTCTATTCAAGTGTTCCACTTATCCACACAACTACAGCATGTGAGTAGCAACTGGCATTGAGAATGTATCTGAGCCAAGTCAGTGGTGGAACATTCTCAGGATCTCCTAGAACATAGGTACATACACTGTCATTATGACCACAGCTGACCAGACAGGAAATGTGGCATCAACATAGTATTTGAGCACAGCAGAAAGGCTGTGCTTCAGGTCATCTTGCAAATAACCTCTGTCAAAGATACCTGAAGGACTGCAATTCACCTTAGCAAAGCCATATTCTGATAACATATTTATGCAAGGAATGTAATAAATTCACACTAATCAAAAACATATCTCAGAACTGGTACATCTTTGCAACATGATGTTACACTATAGTTCAATGTAAAATGTACCCGAGAATGCATGTAAACATACAAGCATAATTAACACATTTTTGTGTGTGTCTAAGTTCTTGAATGAATGCATAAGGGGTAGGCAAAGACTGGCCCTTGCACTGCAACCTTCGATGATGTATTTTTTCTAAGTTCTTAGTTACAGCATTTTTAAAGTTCTGGAGTGTGACATCATGTGATCTGGTAAACAGTTACCTTTTCTGTTGTCAACCTAGCAGTCTACATATCATCACATCTTCAAATTCATAACTGAGAAATTTGAATCTTGTACTAGGAAGTTGTTTCCTAAAATTTTACAACTGCTTTATGTTTCATAAAATTCTTTTCTGGAGAATGACATGCTTCTTTCAGTTCCTCTTCTAGAATATCTAAAGAGTTATTATCAAGTGTTCCTAAAGTTACTGTTTGTTGTTCTTTTTCTTTAATGAGATCAGGACAGTCCCTTTTTAGATGGGTAACATCCCCACAAACTTTGCAAGCTCCACCTTTGGGATACAGGCCACGTGGATTATCAGGGCATTGCCGGGCAATATGACCTTGCTCCTTACACACAAAGCATTCAGCGAATCGAAAGTCCTGACTACGAATGACCTGGCATTGGAAGTGAGTATGCTCTGTTGATCCACATTTGAAACAGATCCCCGTTCCTGATTCACTTGAGCTACCAAGTTCTGGACATTGTGACAATATGTGACCAGAATTTCGACAATGAAAACAAACTTTCTTTCTCTCTCTGGCCAATGCCTTTTCTGCTTTACGGCGCTCCCGCTTCATGATGGCAACAACTTCTGTTTTTGGGATTCCCTCCTCTAGTAACTTCTGACGTAACTCTTCCAGATGTTCTGCATCTTCTTTCTTAACTGGGAATCCATCAAATTTCATAACCTTAATTTCTTTACCATTTATAAACATCTGGACAACAGGTATTCTTGACTTCCTGAGTTTTTTAGATTTGTCTCCAGTTCTTCCACAGTCAAATTTCATCTTAGAATTTTCATTCTGATTGTGTTGAGATACGTCTATCCTATTAGCATTTTTTCTTTCAGTTCCCTGAAGTGGTGACTCTGCATGAGGTCGTTTAATTTTTTGTTTGTCCTCCCATTCTATCTTGTGTGATATGAGCTTCATACTCTTCATGATTTCACATTTTTCATTTAAATCTTCACTTTGGGGTTCCTTAATACTTTTCTCATTGACTAAAGTTGTTACTGAACCCAGTCTTTTCTTCTTTCCTCTCATTTTTGGTTTTCTTGCTTGAATATGACTTCCTGATTTTTCAATCGCATTTTCATTATCAGAAGTATGTACTTCATCAAATATTTTCTTTAGTTTTTTGGAATACACTTTAACAGCTTCTTTCTTTTGAACTCTGGCATTTTTATTTGCAACTGTGTGTAATTTACTGGTTTTTCTGGAATCATGTTTATCTAGTTCAGAAATGCCTCTACCAGGCATTACAGAAACAAATTTCTTGTGCTTATTTTTCTTCATATCATTACTATCATGATCAAATTTTTTTCCAGGTTCTTCAAACACAGTCCATTTACAATTTTCATTATCATTAACATCAAATGTCTTATACCTCTTCATTTCCTTTGCTGTTTCACTCTTGGTTTTCTTGTGTACTTTCTGTTTCTCTTCTAGTTGCTGCTTCATTTGATTCCATGATGTAGCCTCCTCAGGAGTCCTTTCATTAGAGGACTTGGATCCTTGAGATCTTGCAAAACGAGTCATTAAAACTTTAAGTTATCTTCCAGTTCTGAAATGATAAGCATAGTTCTTAAAAAATAAGCATTAAAACAGTCTTATATACATACATGATTGTATCTCAACATCTGGAAGTCAATAAAAAGGAAACTTCTGCATACCTTAAAATGTCTCACTGAACCAGGCTAGGTCTCTAACACAACAGTATCTTGGCTAGGACGGCCCAACTACTAAACGGTCACTGCCAACCTGGAAATTTATCAGAAAAAAATATGTGCCATCTTATAAAACTCACGAACTATAAACCAATTTGATTTGCGTTGTTGAAAATATACTAAGCCAAATTTTAAATATTATACGGGGTTGTCCCAGTTTCACACATGATTGAAATATGGGCATTGTTAGTAGACAAAATTATTGCGGTATCTTTTTTTCAATGGATGCATCCTGTTGTGTTAAATATATAATTTTAATAAAGAAATTTATTACGGTAAAATTATCTTTTTCTTCTTGCTCAATGAAGCGCTGGGGCAGGTTTCCTCCGAGTACTTCGGTTTCCCCTGCCAAATAGGTTAAATAAGCTAAATAGCCGAAACATGTTGTTAATCTATTCTCAAATTTGATGTGTTGTGACTGATAAATATAGTGCTCATCATTTAATTATTATATTAGTATAAAATTATATTGTTCTTCTTATTATTCTATTATTGTATCGTTGTATTACCTTATTGTATCGTTGTATTGGATTGTCCTGTCATGTATAATGATCCATGGATGTGAAGTGAATAAATAAATAAAAAAGCCAACATATGGCGTACATTAGTACGTACTAATACTCGCTCAAATAATGATTTGCGCTAACAAGACTGTCGTAAATAATTACATCCAAACTTACACAACGCAATGTATACCATTTAAATGACTTAAATTGCACCAAGTATCTCATTCATCTCACGGTTCTTCCACTCCCCATTGGAATTGCAAGCGCTTAGAACGAAATCCATGCAGTATTCTGTATTCCGTGCTCCACGAGGTCCACGAGTTCAACACAACGTTGCTTGAATATATTCTCCGCGTTCACAGATATCTGACTGTTCTATTTCGTGGTATTCGATTCGATTGCAAGGGTTGTCCAGACCGTCCAGACTATCGTTTTCGTCATTGTGCATGACAGTACAGGGATATTGCCATCAATTTCCTGTTTTTAATTACAGTTGTTTTCTGATTTCTCCACTGATGTCCACACATAGAAGCAGTAGACACGCTAGTTACACGCGAGTCATAGCGGTCATAGCCGTCATAGCGATATAGTGATGATGACCGTGATAGCGATTGTAACCATCATAACAATCAGTATTTTTTCGTTACTAGGGTATTTATTGTCTGAGTTATTAATGCAACTCGGCTTTTTAAACCACGCCCGTAAACTATGGAGCAGTTATCAGCGTGTTGCAAAAAGTTCGTTGCTGGGCTACGCGTGCAAAGTGCAAGTAGCATGATAAGATAAATGGTTCGAGGTTTGGATGTTGGTGTTGAAGTAATAGCACATGCTGAATAACGTGAATCAGATTGAATTGAAATGTATACCCACAGTCGTTGTCATTTTGATGTTGTACTTTACTTGTTACTCATTGGAATGTCCAATTTAGTCGCGTGTAAGTTACAGAATCTATATTAGTAACCATAAATGCTCTGGAAGTAGCCACTCCCCATTGTATATCTGAGGTTACCTGATTAAGTATGAGAGCATAGTAATATAATGATAACTTAAATTTAAGTAATAACTTCAAATGATTATGCATACTGATGTGTAAAAAGCGGGAATGTTGTTTTGTGGGGATGGAAAGGGGTAAATTTCCTAGTGAATTTGTGGCCTTGTTGCAATGTAAGGTAAAGTGTTAAGTGTTTCAAAGACATTAAGCATCAGTAGCAAAAATGAAGTGGGATTCAGAGGTTGACAGCATCGTTTGATAGGAATTTGCCTGATTAGTGGCCATAAACAATGTCAGTTAACTCATTTCATGTTGATTCTTGGATGACATTTTCCACTTTTCCCTGGAGAGAGTGTAGAAAAGGTTCAGTGCTCTAAAAAAAAGTAAAGATTTGTGTAGGTATACTAACATAATTCTGTATGGCATTGATATCTGATTTCAGTTTCCATTCTTTAGCAAGATTTTCTGTTTCTCTGAAAACTGCCTGCTGAATCATGTTTTAATCCCTGTTGTAAATTATGTGGTATGAGCAAACTGTCTGTCATACATTACATTTACACCCTAAAGTTGCACTATGGGATTATGCAGTTTAATGGTATTTCAGGAAACTTAGTTGTATAGTTATTTTTTGTTACTTCTTTTACAAGATTTTAAATACTGATAGTGATAGTAGCTGTTACATAGGAATTTTCTGTTCTAATGCGTGCAAGTGCTGAAATTATTGTGTATAATGCAGTCTTGCAATGTTGAAGGGACTAGCATAAAGAATTGTTAGTGTGATGGCTAGTTATGTGACCTTTTTGCATAGTGGCATTATAATATAATTAACATGTCTTTTAGCTGTACTTGTACTCTGATCTAAAAGATATGTTTTGTTATACCCAGATTTGCTTTTATATGTATCTTTTGACTTGCTGAATTGGATAATATGTTAATTTAACTTAGTACACAGTGTTAGATTTGTGTTGGGGTCTACTATGTGTGAACAAAATAGTTCTGATTGATAATTTGTTTGTCTATGATGTTATTATGAGTGGTACTAAGGAGGCTCAAGTATATATAGTTGCCATATTTTAGATGTTTTGTTGTTGCTGCTGTGCCTTGTGATGACCTACTTTATACCTCCTTTATAAAGAGGAGGTTTTGTGCCTAGAAGTAGTGCTTGGGAAGGAGCATCTGCCAAGTTATTGGTGGAGGGAACACCCAAGTAGTGCAGGTTTTGTCAGCTGCACAGAGCACATACTATTGAATGGCAGGATGATTTTGAATTATAAAATGGAAGAGATGTGGAAGAGAACAGCCACTGTCTGTTATAATGTACTCTCCCAGTATTGTGCTTTGCGGGGACTAAAGATTTCAGTTAGTGTTTTTTTTTTTTTTGAGGGCAAGGGGTTGATATTTGAAAGCAGGACTTCTGTAATGTGAAGCAGGAATACTAACTGCTACACTGTTATGTTGGTATTAAGTTGAGTTAATCTTTATAAGAGCATCTCTATAAGGAGGGTAGAGTATACTCATACTTCATAGAAATCTCTATTGTTTTGTGTTACTTTTTTTAGGTTCAGTTTACAATAATTTGAAGCACTTTGAGACTCTTCATACTTCTCAATTTAGCCACAGTATTGTGAAGAGAGGCNTACCCATTGGATAGGAGGTTGGATGGACCCCAGAGCCGGTCTGGACGATTTGGAGAAGTTAAAATTCTTGACCCTACCGGGACTCGAACTCCGACCCTTCACAGTCGTCCAGCCCGTATAATAAAATTTGGCTTAACCGGGTTTTCGATTAACCGTGACTTCCATCCCCACCATTAGCCCGGATAATCGAGAGTTGACTGTAGATATATGACAGGTGTAACACATTTTTGTATCTAAGTAAAATTATTTTATTTATTTATTTTCATATACTTGATTTAACTGTGTTTTAACATGCTGAGACTATATAGTGTTAAATTATAGAATTATTAGTGAATAATGAATTGTAATGGAAGGAAATGATCATGGTTGTATTTTGTGTATTATCCTGGAATTTGCTTGGTGAGATTAACAAAACCCACAAAAATCTCAGTTAGGATGCTCAGTCTCCAGGCTGAAATTTGAATCCAGGATCTTCAGAATACAGAGCAGGAGTGCTAACTACTCATCTACACTGTTTAGTGTGTTTCCTTGTTGTATGCTACCTTCTAGTCTCATATATGTCTTTCTGAGTAAATGGATATTGTAGCGCAGTTTTTAAATTTTTATAAATAGCCATATGTAGGAAATATGTAATAGTAATTTTTACATTTAATTAAATTTAGCTTAGTTGCAAATTTTATTGTTTACATAGGGATAGCCCAGTTGGTGTAATAACAGGCTCCAGGTTGAATAGCTAGCACTTGATTTGTGGGAGGGGTAAGAGATTCTTCTACACAGTGTCCAGACCAGCTCTAGGATCCACCCAGCCTCCTATCCAGTGGGTATCGGGATTCCCAGGGGTAAAGAAGCCAGGACATGAAGCTGATCACTCACCTCCATCTAGTGCTGAGATCGAGAGTGTTGGAGCTATGCGTTCACTCCCTCCCACATCTTCATGGTGTGGTGCTTAATTAATTAAGCGCCTAAACAGCTTTGCCTTTTATATATTCAACAACATTTTTATGAATAAGGTATGTTAGAGAGCTGTTGCAGCCCAGTTGGTCTTCTGCCTAGCCAGTAATTAGAAAATAATAGAGGTGTTGATTGTTCAGGTACACCTCATATGTGAATTCTGTGGCCTTTGATAGAACTCTGTGGGATCTCTTGTACTACTTGTTACAGTTGCAGTGTAGGGAACGTGATTAATGCACTAATAATTGTCAGAGTAAATTAATCTAATGGGTGAGAGGGGAGAGCATGCATCTAGGTCCAGTATGTGGAGACATAAAATGTCAGTTGTTTTATTCATGCAGGTTAATGGATACATTGTTTTGATATAACCTGTGAACCACAATGATGGAGACACAGTTTTTCTTCTGTCTGTGAATTCACATCATAAAAACGTTTGGCTTTAACTTTCTTCTTGAGTGAAGTTTCTATGCTCTGTTCTTTTTACATTGAACCACAAAAAATAAATCAAAAGTTCAATAATGTCAAAGTGTTCTGAATTTCTTCAGATCATGAAAATTTTTATGATGGCCGATTGTTTGGAGAGGTCTCATCTGATGCAACAGTCCATTTAGAAGATGGTGTTATGACTGCAACTATCTATACCCCAGAAGAGATCTATCATATTGAGGTAATTATTTTGCAGTGTATGTGTGTAATTAATGTTGGCCCCTCTTCATACTATGACTGCCTGCTGTGCATACACACAGAGAGAGCAGGTATGACAGGATCTGTTGAATGAAAAGTGTAGCCTTCTCTTAAAATGTTACACATACAGTGGAACCTCGCTTAACGAGCAAAACAAATTGTAAAAAAAATGACTCCCATAACGAGTGACATTTCGCATAATGAGTGACGAGAGGGGAAGTCCCGGATTGTGTGCTTGCTACATCAGTCTGTGTTTAGCACTTGTTCCGCTAGCATCTTAGTGTCGCTTGTGATCACACATTTTTCCAAACTTGTGTTCAGACATATTATTTGTGATTTTTTTTGTGCAAAATTTAATAACCCTTGCAAAAATGTCCCCGAAGAAAAAGCACAAAAAGACAGCCATAAGAGAATAAAAATAACCGTAGAAATGAAACGTAAAATCATTGAAAAGCGAGAACGAGGTGTGAGCGTGGCTTATCTAGCACGCACATACAGTTGGTCTACATCAACGATTTGCATGATTTGGAGTTGCATTGTGTTTCACAGCAAGAAGTTGTAGAGGAGAATTTGTCAGAGGAGGAGGAGGAGGAGGAGGTAACAGCAGAGCAAAAATCTTCTGGCGCAATAAGAGAAATGCTGAAAGCATGGGAAACTGTTGCATCGTACATTGAGAAGCATCACCCTAATAAGGCAGTGGCTATGCATGCTACAAATTTATTTAATGATAATGCTGTGTCGCATTTTCACCAAATTTTGAAGCATTGGCAAAAACAAATGTCTCTAGACAGCTTTCTAGTAAAAAAGAATTAGATATGTATCATAAATAATAAACTAATTATATCATTTTTTTTTTGTTTTCGGCAAATCGAATTCGCATTCCAGGTTGGTATATTCCGCATAGAAGAAAAGATGAAGATGATTCACGCTTCTTAACAATGTATATATAATTTTCTTTGAATAAACGTTATACATAAAATTTTTTGAGTATTTTTTTTCGGCCTGGAATGCATTATCATATTTTACATTAATTTATATGGGAAAAATTGTTTCGCTTAACGAGTGTTTCGCATTACGAGTAAGATTCTGGA